TCTCTTCCTACCAACGGAAGGAGCAGATGATCCGAAAACTAAGTTGCATTACGATAACCTGCTTGATGCTCAGATTGATGCAGCCTATGCTGCGTTAGAAAAAGCCGGATTTGGAAAGATGGAAGTCATCATCACAGAGACCGGATGGGCTTCACATGGAGATGAGAATGAAGCCGCGGCAACGGCAAGTAATGCAAGGACGTATAACTACAATTTGCGGAAGAGGCTTGCAAAGATGAAAGGAACTCCATTCAGACCAAAAAATGTGGTTAAGGCATATGTTTTTGCGATCTTTAATGAAAATTTGAAGCCCGGGGCATCTTCCGAGAAGAATTTTGGACTGTTTAAACCGGATGGGAGCATCTCGTATGACATCGGGTTTCATGGATATAAATCTTCATCTGCAGATTCATCACTGCTTTCCTTGAAGGTACAAGGTTTTCTCCCACTCTTGATGTATATATTACTAGATTTGTGTATTCTCAGACGGAATTAGCATATTCGTAGAACAAATCTTCTCTGACTTGCCAGTTTTCTCTCGGACTACCTCTTGTCGAACCAAAATGATTTAATGTTCATATGATGCTGGAAAGATGTCAAATAACCATAGGTGGGTCGATTTATTAGCAGGAATGCTGGTATCGCTAGGCCGAACCAATGCAGTCTAACTGTTTCCTGAACTACCTGTGACCAGAGTAGCTTAAAAATGATAAATGGTTTCTTATCGAGTGAAACTATATAGGGGCCTTTGCACTCGATCTACTTCATCCAGTGTTACGAACCGAACAATCATACTGTTACACCAATGCTAAACGGGAAGCACTTCCTTCGATTAGAAGCATCTTAATGCCATATGTTTTATGTAGTGTTTTACTTGTCAGTACTGCATTCATACCTGGAACCTCTGGTTTGGTTTCTCGATAGCATAACTCGGAATCCCGGACGGATGCAATGTAAACTTGGCTACTTGCACATAGCAAACATGTGGTTTGAATGATTCACTTGTTAATGTAATGATGATCAGCTCGTATAACATCACATGAAAAATAAAAGTTGCTATAGTATGTTCTTTTTACCCTCCTATTTCATTGTATTTTTTATGTGAAATTTCACAGGAAATCCGAGCTGCCGGTCGGTTCATCTCCTACTCCATATTATTAACAATAGCTACTGCACTAGTGCTTCTATTCTGAAGATGGTGATTGAACAATGAATATCTGTTGGGTCGCATTCTATTCTGCACTTGCATTTGCATTCGATGCTAAACCCGAACCCGGAGATTCTATAGTTTTAGGGTTACATAAAAACTTCAGAGAACAGTCCAATACACCTGATTTTTATACCTTTAGAAAACACATTGGGAAGTTGCTGATCACAAATATCTCAAATTATGTATATTGTGCCTCGTTACTCTCTTGTAACTTAGTATAATGGAATCCTCTGTGCTTACTGTTTTTTAGAAGCTCGAGACTAATCTCGTCGAGTCGAGTTTTGCATGTGTTGTTCACCTAAACAAGTCGAGAAATAACCCGAAACATTAAATTGACCACTTTCAGTTATCGTGTGGCCGTCGATAAGAAGGTTCATCGGCAGAGCTACATCTTCTAGTGTTATCGTAGCTTGGTTGTCGGTTCTCGGTCGTTCAACGAGAGCAGAAACAAATTGTGGAATCAGATTCAGGAAATCCATTTGAATAATCGTGAGGAAAATAACATCTTTCATCTGTCCATGGATTTGCTCGTGAAGAAACTAACGTCTTCGTTTCCTTTTATTAAAGAGACATGCCCTTCTTGTAATATTAACAAGTGTGTGGTCATTTTATATTATCGAATTTAGGGTTTAAGGTCTAGGTTTTTAAAAATATTCGGCTAATATCGAAAGATATTTTTTAATATTTTATGAAACACAAATATATTTTTATTTATGATTGTCCTTAATGTATTTCCGATATTGTTCTAAATAATATCTTTTATGACTAATGTAATCAGTGTTTCTATTTCAAAAAAGAAAAAAATCATACTTTGATCTAAGGACGGAGTCGAATTAAATATTGAAATAGATCGAAATATCAGATTATTTAAGAAAAATATAAAGACTTATTAGGTATTTAAACTCAAAATTTAGCATGAACTAAGCGACTTTAGTGATTAAGGGATTGTTGTTATCCTTGAGGTCCGAGTTAAGTACTACGTATGTAGGAGTATGAGCATTCATTGTCAAATAGTTGAAAGTCTTTGTACATATGTTACTTGCATTCACGTTAAATTAAAAAAAAAAACTCAAAATTCACAAGACATCTTCTACTTTGTCTAATATTTAAACTTACAATGACCTAAATTGTAATTAATCAAAAATTTAAGAACACATACTTATCATCTTTAATTCGACCCCTACTTGATTAAATATTTAATAATTTTTTATATTTTTAAAATTTAAATATTTATTTTTACATGAACTAAAATATTATTAAATCAAAATTATATTGAATATATAAATTTTAACACGAGCCGAGGGCCCTTGGGTCATAAGGGAGCTCCCGTCCCTACTTTGATCCACTTATCATGATAACGTATTCAATAATAACTAAACTATAAAATTGTTTCTATTTTGATCATCGAACTGATTTTTTTTAATTAAATCACTCAACTATTAAATTGTTATCAATCAAGTTACTGACAATTAATAATTGATGAAAATGATGATATATTATCATCTGATTAGATGATTATTTATTGATTTAGATTAAAATTAAGATTAAATTGATAGAATAGACAAGTGATGTAAAGATGTAATTATAAAACTTATTCGACATCATTTCCATCCGCTATTAACGATAAGTGATTTGGTTGATAGCAATTTAATAATTGAGTGGTCTAATTGAAAAGAAGTATATTAGTTCGGTTGTCTAAATAGAACTTACCCCATAGTTTAGTGACTATTTTGGTACTTTACCCAAAGAAACTAAAACTGAAAAGAAATAGTGCGAGTGATTCACTTGAGCATTTCTCCATAATTCACTTGATTCGAGCTTCCTGTTGTATTTGCCCTCTTAAATTTATGGCTTTTCGCTTCAGCTGAAGAGGAAATCCCAAAACCTCGGCATCTCCAAAGATTTTCCGGCAAAGATCTACTCTTCATCCCACTTCTTACATCTTCATCTTCATTGCAGTTTTCATGTTCCATCGTCTTCACACGATTGTGAGTAAATTTTGATTTTAATGGAGATCGGTCTTCACTCTTCATCTAAACTACTTGCCTTGCTTCCTGTAATATATTCAAGAGTAGAAACCACCTGCAATCAAAGATAATACGAATCAAAAATCTGAACAGGAAAAGAAGCATTTGATTCGAGTATAAGCACATGCATGCATGCATGCATGTATGATGTAGTTTGATGTTTTTACCTTATCCATGGTGAATCTTTTCTTGGGATTTTTGCTTATACATTTTGCTGCAAGTCGAGCCATCCTGTAAAGCTGGAAGATATCAATGGAATCACCAATTCTGGGATCAACTAGCTGTAAATACCTTCTTTGTTTAATCAGTGTTCTTGCCTGTGGAAAAATAGATCAATGTAACGAAAACGTCTTGATGTAAATCGTTAATTAACTAAAGGTCAACGTTTACGTATGACGTAATAAGTCATATGTGTCCAAAGCACTAACGTGACACATGCAAAGTATCTAAATTAATGATATGACATATACCTCATGTCCAAAATGATTACTCGGTACATGTCATATGTCTAAAGTAGTGATGTGGCACATATAATATGTTCAAAGCGATAATGTGACATATACTACATTTTCAAATTGATGATGTGGCACTTGACGTATGGGACATATCAAGTCGTCATTTTGGATGTAACACTGTTACATCATCACTTTGGATATTTAGTATGTGTCACGTCATCATTTCAGTCGCATGATATGTGTCATGTCATCACTTTAAACATGTGGCGTGTTACGATATCACTTTAAACACAAAATTTGTCATATCAACGACAAAATGATTATTGTTACTCAACTCAACTAACCGTTATCATCTGGAACATTTTACCCCAAAATGAAAGTTAAAGTATTTCAAAAAAAAAAAGAGAGAATAGGACAAATTACCCATGTCAAAAAATCTTTATGCCCCATAATCTTGTCCATGTCGTCTTCCCTGTAATTATCTCTAGTAGAACCAAACCAAAAGAGTATACATCTATCTGAGTAGACAATGTCCCATTCTCAACACATTCTGGGGGTAAATTCTTAGATGTCTGAATCTTGTTCTGCTTCCAGCACTGCCCTGCTACCTCAAAATCTCCAAGCTTTAAACAAAACATTTGTAACATGAACTTTCGGATACATTAAGGTTTAACAAAGATGTAATTATGACACATAAGTTGTTCTTACCAGTGGTTCAAAACCATGAGTTAGAAAAATGTTACTTGATCTTATATTTTTGTGAATGATGTTGTTTTGATGTAGGTGGCTTAGACCCTTGCCTGCCCCAACTGCTACTTTTACCCTTTGTGTCCAACTCAATGGCGTAGCTTGACATTCTGATGCACATTTGTATAAATTATTAGCTTTCGAGTTTCAACGTTGTCGATAATGCCAAGTGCATGCTAAAAGGCCTGAGCCAGAGTTGTCCTTACTTGATAAATGTTGATCAAGTGAGCCATTGCAGACATACCCGTAAACAAGTAGCCTATGAATCCCTTCTGCACAGCAACCCAACAGTATGCCTAAGTTCTTGTGTCTAACTCTGATGAGTTTATCGATTTCTTACTCGAATTCCTTCTGTTCTTGAAACGAAATGTTGTTTTTTGCAGGTTTAACGACAATGGCCTGCTTGTTCTCTAGCTGACCTCTGAAAGTACGTTCGAAACCGCGTCGTGATAGATCGTTCTTCGATGAATCCATCTGTAGCTGCATGGAGTTCGACGTATGTGAATCTTTTCTCCATTCAGTGATGTGAATTCTTTTATCACAAATGCTGCACCCTGGATTTTAAAGGGCTTCCTCGGCCTGCAACCTTGTGTTTGAAGAAATGCTGGTATCTACAAGTCTCTGGTTTTCACTTACTTCATTACCATCCGATCCACCTGCATAATGTTGTATGTTTGATGAACAAATTTCATTTTCTAGATGCATTCGATATCGGTCAACTAAGTCGCTTCGGCATTTTGAGCTATGGCATTAGGCCTTACTGGCTAGATTATATCATTTCATCTTACCTGTTGGGAAAAGTTCAATGCTGAAAAGATCATCTTCATCTAGGAGTCCCGGCATCATATCATCATAAGTTGCACAAAACTTTGTTGTCGGTCCTCGTAATAGCTTGATGCCATTGTTTTTCTTCATCCTCGATACGCCACACGAAAGCTTTTCCATGAAGATTTTCTTGTTTTTCTTCATCTTCCTGGTTCAGAAAAGGACCTTTTGAATCAAATTCATTTGCATTTCTATTTATACATCCTTGGTTTTTCATCTCTAAATAATGCAAGCTAATGCAATGTTTTCTATATGATTTTTTTGACAAACCTGTCTAGAATTATCCATGTTGGCTTCATATTTTGTGCTGATTGCATAGCCACAAGTGCTGGTGATGTTCCTGATGTTACTTCCACCCTAAACTCAACCTAAGTTACCAATGGTGATCTCTCATTAACATGTGATATTTTTCACCTGATTCGACCCGACCCAATCGAATCTAAATAGTTAAAATCATTTTTGACTAACCTTTTCAGCTTTGCAGACCTTGGAAATTTCTAATATTTCAGCATTATTCTCAAACTCCTTCATTGCTGCTTCCATATCAGCAATGCTGTGATTTGCTACACCCCACTTCAAAAAGCAGAGCAAGAAAAATTGGATTTAAAAAATCCAGTCAAAGTGATGTAAACAATCTCATAATATTGAAAAAAGGGAAAATTACGTATTTAGTCACCCACCTATTGTCGCAGATCCGTTTTGGTCACCTAACTATGTTCTTTTTCAAAATCATGCATAACTTTAGGTTTGGGCTCGTGTAGGTCACCCGCCGTCAAAAAATAAACAAAATTACTAACGAGATAATTTTTTTTTGTTTTTTTCAGTGATGATCGAAAATTATCTTAAGGTGACACGTCAACAACGCCACTAATTTTTTTTCATGCAACCAAAACGTGTTGTTAAATATGATTTTGAAGGGGAAAAAATAGTTTGGTGACGAAAATAAAATTGCGGAAATAGGTGAGTGATTAAATACGTAGTTGACCAAAAAAATTATGTAATCTTACATAGCTTCCTTGTCCCCTTGACAGATACAGGTTTAGTAGGATCATTAACCTGATGAAGAACTCCAAGGAGGACAATCAAATCTCCAGGCTTGAGAAGTAAGCCATGAATTGCCCATGTAATAGCACTTGAACAAACTTGCTTAGATGCATCTTGATTACCATTACTCTTTGATATTCCACTGCAGAATTTGAAACCCCCAAATCTGTTTTCTGAAGCTATCTGTCTCTCATTCTCCTACATTACAATCTTAGAGTTATCTACTTTATAGTTTTGCCGGTGTCAAAGTTTGACACCAAATTCCTGTAAAAGTGTTTGTTTTTTTGGTTGGATAAACTACTCAAATGACCATCTAACTATGGGATTGGTCTTGATATGACCACAATACTTTCAATTTTGACAGTATGACCACATAACTATTTAAATGGTTTCAATGCAGCCACTTGCCATTACAAAACAAGCTGACTCGTCATTAGTCAATAACAACCACATTAACCAGAACTAAATATTGACATGGGCCGAAATATTAGAATATTTAAGAAAAAAGTAAATACTTATTAGGTATTTAAACTCAAAATTCATCACGAATCAAGCGACCTTAGTGATTAAGATATTGTTATTATCCTTGAGGTATCGAGTTCAAGCACTGCGCATGTAGGGGTATGAGAATTCATTGTCAAATAGTTGAGACTCTTTGTACAAATATTACCTTGTATTCGCCCTATATTTATAAAAAAAAACTCAAAATTCACAAGATAACACCTAAGTTGTCTAACATTTAAACTTACAATGACCTAAATTGTTATTAGACCAAAAATTTTGAGAACACGAGATTATCCTTCTTTAGTTCGTTCCTTACTTGATTAAATATTTAATAAATTCTTATATTTTTTTAATTTAAATATTTATTTTTACATGAACCAAAATACTATTAGACCAAAATTATACCAAATATACAAACTTTAACATGGGTCAGGGCCCCTTTGGGCCCTCACTAAGCTTCGCCCCTGACATTAACTACACCGTTTGTTTTGTAATAGCATTTGGCTACATTAAAACCACATAAATAGTTATATGGTCATATCAACCCAATTGAAAGTGTGATAGTCATATCGATATCAACTCCGTAGCTAAGTGATCATTTGAGTAGTTTACCCTTTTGTGGTTCAATGTATAATTCATTAAGAACATGGATTGGAAGATTCCAAAACTGAAATCAAGGGAAAAGATTCTATTAGCTTGGATGTTTAGGTGAAAAGGAATTCACTGCATGTTCATGCCATGATAATTCCAAAGCCAAGCATTGTTGGAACTATTATTGTAGTAATTTGTTTGTATGTAGGAAAAAAACCAGGGAAACTCTAATGTTTTAAATTATGGGTCAAGAGCTGCAACATTTATAATTTTAATAATATGTGTTTTGTTCTTATACTTGGAATTGTTAAGATAAAAGGTGGAGTGCATTTGGTTACAGATTAAATTCTGGGTAAACTACTCAAATGACCACTTAATTATAGGGTTGATGTTGATATGACCATCAAACTTTCAATTTTGACCATGACCACATAACTATTTAAGTGGTTTTAATGTAGTCATAGCTATTTAAGTGGTTTTAATGTAGTCATAAGCTATTATAGAACAAACGACATAACCGATGTGGTTGTTATTGACTAACGGTGAGTCAACAGTCCATATCAGCTGCGTCGTTTGTTTTTAACGACAAGTGGTTACATTGAAACCACTTTAAATAGTTATGTGGTCAGATTACCAAAATTGAAAGTCTGGTGCTCATATTGATACTAACCCCATAGTTAAGTAGTCATTTGTGTAATTTATCCTTAATTTTTTGTGATATACATATATGAGATAAAGTACACCAAAGATCACTAAATTATGCTTAAATTATCATTTCGATCCTTAAACATTCAAGAATTATAAAATACTTATTATATTTTATCATATTATTAAAAAAATAATAAAATTTATTAAATTATTGTTAATTTTTATCAAATTATTATAAAATAATATTTTATAATTACTCTAACATTAAATTGATAAATTTAATGAATGCAATTATTTGAGTTAACTGTGTAATTTATTTAATTAGGAGGGCTTGATTGTCTCTTTACCATAGTTTATATTGAATAGGCATGTAAACGAACTGAATAAACACGAATGAGGGTATGTTCTTATTCATCTGTTTAACTTTAAACGAACAACCGATTGTAACAAACAACTAAGCAAATAATTTTTTTTGTTCGCATTTGTTCGTTAAGAAATATGTTTAGTAGGGTATGTTCTTGTGTGTCTCTTCTTTATCAAGAATGTTTAGGTTCTCAGATGGAAGCTTATAATTTTATCCTTGTAAGTTATTTTTGAGAATGAAATGAAAACATTTGTTAATGCTGAATAATTTCCTTTTTGTTTTGCTTTAACACAAATTCTTTGGACTATTAATGTCTACTTATATGTCAAATTATTCATTACTGCAGAGTAGCTTAGTTGGGCAGCTTCAGGCTCTTTCTTCTACAGTTACTATGCTGGCAGTACCATCCCCTTCTTTAGCAGCTACTTTGTCTAGTTAGTTCCACTTCCTCAATCTGTTTCCTGAATTTTCATTTCTGTTAAACTTTCACAAGTTGACTAACATGCTACTTTGTCTAGTTGCTTTGGGTAGTCAAAGTGGGACAATTGACGTCATCGATGTCTCTGCCAATGCTGTTGCTGCAAGTTTTGAAGTTCATAATATTACAGTGAGAGGCTTATGATGGCTTGGTAATTCTAGACTGGTTTCGTTTTCATACACACAGGTAACCTATCAAGTTTCCAAGAACCATATTTGCCTGTTGCATCATAGTTAGCTTTGTTTCTTCTTTATCTGCAGGCCTTCCATTTTGTTTAATATCATTGCTTTGTTTGGCAGTATAATATTTACATAGTACTTCTATGGACTCAAGTGAATGAGAAAACTGCAGGCTACATTAACAAACTTGTTGTGACTTGTCTAAGAAGTGGGCTTAATAGAACTCTTCGGGTCTTACAAAAGCCAGAGAGTGCACCTATAAGAGCTTTAAGGACTTCTTCATCTGGAAGGTTTCCCTTCTAAATTCTCATATCTTGACAATATATCTCTACTTAGTAGAATTTCGTCAAAGGGGAAATCGACATCAAACCGGGCAGAGAGATGCATTGGTAAGTTTTTAGTGGTTTTAACGGTTCTATTTAAGTAACTGAAAGGATGAGAAGTACAATCTCGGTTGGCCATGTATATCTCTTGTGATTTAAAACTTTTGATGGCTAGACATGTTTCTGGTTGGCAGACTCAAGGTCAACTTAGTTTAATGGCTTTTGAGCAAGAAGACTTGTGGGAAAGGGCTAATGAGTGTATCCCTTGGCATGGGAAATTGGAGGGTGAAGAAGCAATTCAGAACCGTGTGCATGAGTGAGTTTTTGTTCATTTGAATGTTATTATTCTGTGTTTGCCACACTAGTAATTATTCTTTGTATCTGCCATGTGCAGGCTTGTCACAGTTGGAAACTTCGAAGGTGCTGTCAGTTTATTGCTTTCTGCTTCTCCAGAGTCTCCATACTTCTACCCAAATGCTCTACGTGCAGTTGCCCTTTCTTCTGCAGTGTCAAGATCTCTTCTTCAGCTGGCACTTAAGGTGAGGGTTAACTTTATTTTCTTATATCTAGATTAAAGCATGTGATTTTTCTAGGTTTAACGATAATGCCTGTCTATTTTGGTATTCTTTCAAACTTTCCATGTATATTTAGGGTGCTATTTACTGCTGTATGATGATGATCTAGGTTGTTGCTGCAAATGTGGTCCGAACTGACCGGTCACTGTCTGGCACCCATCTTCCCTGTGCTGTTGGAAGGTATCAGGAAGCTTGTTCACAGGTTTGGTTCTGTTCAGTCAACCATCAAAATCCAACCCAATACATGTATATTTGGTTCTTGTTTTATTCTATTCTTATCCATGATTTTATATATGTGTTGGTATGCATTTACCTATGTTTTTTAATTGAAGAGCACCTGAATGAGTTTGATTTATGGTCATTTGTGGTGGATTATCAAGCTCAATAAAACATATATGACTCAAAAATTCAAGTTCATTGAATAAATGAGGACAAGTTCGAATATATGTGAACCTGGGTCATTTAGCTTTACTAACAAGCTTGATAAGAACTTCACAAGCAAGCTCAACAAGAGCTTGTTTATTCTTTTAAGCAAACCCTTTTGTCTATTATTTCTCAACATTTCATAGAGCAGCTACATATCATGTTTAATTCTTGTAGTATGTCTTTGGCTGATGGTTATTTTAACCTTATGCGGCTACAAGATTCTGGATGCTGGACTGATGCTGCTACTTTAGCTGCAGCTCATTTAAAGGGATCCGACTATGCAAGGTTTCTCTTTTTTCTTCCCCGGCTTTCAGGAAGGACATGTTAGAATTTTTTTTCTGGCATTTAAATTCCTAGAATTAGCATTACCCCTTTTAATTTCAATAGATTTCTCAAGTTTACCTGTGTCATGGCTTGACCACACCCTTTCATCCAGTGTAAAATGCTCATCTACCATGTTTGATGCCAAGCCAATGAAATTCTGATCCCTTGTTGCGGAGAAATGAATTTAATTTCTTAATGTACTTTCAACAGAGGTTACTTTAACTTATGATACCTTTGTTTAACATTGTTCTAATTGCAGGGTCTTACAAAGGTGGGCAGAGCATGTCCATCATGCTGAACACAACATTTGGAGGTACAATGGTTCTTATTCTTCTTCTAATACTCGGTATCCAGTGCCTAATTGTCACTCTAAAGCTTAAGATGCGGTTCGGTGCAGGGCTCTTATCTTATTTGTTGCATCCGGGTGATCCAGGAGGCATTGGCAGCCCTCCGTGAGGCACAGCAGCCCAACACAGTTGCTATGTTTATACTGGCATGCCGTGAAATTCACACGGATTCATTACTAATTTAGTGGGCTCAGAGGATGAATCAGGATCATCAATCAATGATTCAGTAGTTTACTTGCCTGGTTTAAACCGGCAAATGATGATGTTATTGCAGTTGGGGAATATTTTGGGTAGTACCAAAAGAAATTGGTGCACCTATGCATGGACGCTCAACCATTTTCAGATGAAACCAGCTATAACCCAAAATTGTCTCAAAACTTAGTTTGGGTCTTTTGTTGAGAGAAACATACAACCTGAGTGCTAGCAGAATGGTCCTCTCTCAGCCTCTTATGCCCCAAGTTGTCAAGATTTTCCTTGTATTACAGTCCAGTAATCGGAGTACGCACACCGATTTGTTTTGCAGCGGAGCCATAGCATGGTGACCGATGGTGAACCCTCGGTTATGTAGAAACCATTAATGAAACGTCAAATATGTTGTAAGCTGAAATGTACAAATCTTACCAAAACTTCATCCCCAGAATTTGGGTTTTCGGGAGTGAGCAGTGGTTGCCCATAAGATAAACATTCATTTGGTTTGCACTGTAACATTCTTTACACTGGAAGTTGTTCCATTTTGTTTCTTTGAACGAATTCTTTCATATTTTGTAGTTCCGAAATGTTTAGAGATCGATTTGATCATTTTATGAAATATAAGGACCAAAATATTTATAAATTCAATGTTCGTCACTACACGTAAGTTCTGCCCTTAATTATGACAAAATACGTATACTGAATAGTTTATCAAACTAAGGTACCCTCTATGCAGGAGGCTATGTAAATAGATGAAGTAGCAAAAAAATTGAAGTTCTGAATACTCGAAATGTTGATGCGAAAATAATATTGTGAACCATGCCAAGAACTAATCCAGCTTGAGGGAAAAAATAACTCAGTAGGGAGGATAATAGTACCCTCCCGGCTGCCCCATGCCATCAACCGGCGGCATTCCATAAGGCATCATTCCGGGATGTGCAACAGGGGAGTAGTAGCCTGAAGTAGCGGTGATCTTGGACAAGCTTGTTTGACCTTGCATCCCATCCCTTCCGTATTGATGCCATAGCGTTTGTTCATGCACGAGTAGCTGCTGCTTACGCTCCATGTCTGCCATCTGCACGTACGAAGGCGGTGGAACTGTAAGTGACGCTGCAAAAGGATCCTGATTTCCCACCGGTTGTACCGTCCCGTCTGGGGCAGGCAATGCCAGCACTTGAGTAGCGGTTTTTCCCGGGCCAGGCACGGCGACACTGCTTGCACTCCCACCACTTAACTGAGTAGTGTTCACGTGCTGCCTCACTGCACCTTGATCATACATGCCATTCAGAAGCAATGAATCAAATCCACCAGCTAATGCAGCTTTCTGCTTTGATAAATTACTAGCTGACTCGACCAATGCCAATTCCCAATCTGTGTTACCAGTCTCGGCAGCCGGTGTTTTCCATGCAGAAGTAACCTCTGGCTCATCATTTGAAGGAAACGCTTCCCATGAGCCATTAGCATTTGAAGTAGGTCTTTCGGAGAACAAGGCCAAAGCCAATTTGTTCCCTTGCTCATCGGCTGAAACGGCATCATCCCTTAGATTCACTAGGTCCTCTGTAACCTGTTGTGGCACCATCTTAGGTTGTTCAGGTTCAGGTGGTGGTGGAGGTGGAGGTGGATTATAATTCTCTGGTGCAGGAAGAGCCTTTATTTCGTTCATGTTCGTTTCAGGCCCTCGTTAATTGGCAGTTTCTCTTCTCTAATTCTCTCCGGACTCTTTCGGCCATTGGTCATTTCCTTCAGAAAACCTTCGAGTGTACCCAAAAGCTTATCGGTAATTCTCTGCACTTCAGGATACTCGGAGGACCTAGCAATTCCCATGTCCTTACACCATCCATAAAACCCAACAAGCTCATCAATCATCTTTGCAGCACTAACATAAACATCAAAACCCTTCACACAATCGGCATACTCCATCTCGGTAAACCTATCCAGCAAGATCCCCAATGCCTCGCATATCTCGACATAAAGCCCGAAACTCTCCTTCAAAATCTGATAAAGTGCAACAAGCACCAACCTGCTATTTTTTGCCATACCGGCCGGCCTGCAACCCAATACTTTATAAAGAATCTTCAACAACTGATGCAGCCTCCCTAAAACTCTCTCTGGCCTCATTTCCCTCATCGGTGTCGCTTCTCTCCTCTGCTCTCTCCCAACAGAATCATTCAAATCACCGTATCTACTATCAGTCCCGCGATCATAATCATCTCTAAATTCTCCATACTCACGCAGCCTATTCCTCTCATCTATCCCGGCAAACTTATCCTCCCCATCTCTCCTCTTCTTCTCAAACACCGAAAATTCGACCTTCTCGTCTAGATACATAGCATAAAACCTAACAAAACCAGCATGATCCCAGGAATTCGAATGCGCCTCGTCCCTAAAATCGGACATATTCAAAACCCTCATCCCTCTCCTGGAGGCAAACACGATCTCCTCTTCAAAACCAGGGTTCCCATCAACTAAAAGCCTATGAACAAGCATCAAAGACTTAAGTGCAACAATCCAATCACGAGTTTTACTCAAACGCTTCGACACCGTAGCAATGCATGCACTAATATAACCCCTAGAATATGTTGTAAGACTTATGATCTCCCTAAAATACTTCTCATCGGCCGGATCTTCATCGTGGCTCGTGACTTTTACAACCAAAACTTCGAGTTCCGGCGCTATGTTCCCGGCGACTTTGGCTATGCTTATACTCGTTTGATCCTTCACGGCCCCGATCGCTTTACGGATTGTGCTTGGCGCCATTAGTAAAAGACTGCTTTCCTTCTTAATCTTGAAACTTAAGTTCCGTACATACATAAAAAAAACGATGAAATCTTCGTGCTCCAAAAAAACGTAGCAATAAAAAAACTGAAACTGGGATTGAAACTTTACCAGAAACTGAAATTGGGTTTTGTTTTGTTCTTGTGATAGACAGAATCTTGATCACAACACGATAACGAAAACGAAAACGAAAATGGGGTGTTTATCTGAATTTACCTTTTCAAGACTTTGAATGATCACAAACGGTGAAGCTTTAGACGGCGGAGATGGCGGCCGAACAGCCGGTGGAAGCGGATCCAAGAAACTTAACGGGGGTTAATGTATAAAGTTGGAATTTTACGGTGGTTTCAGTGTAGAGATAAGATTGACCAGTGAAAGTGAAGAATCTAAAATTACGTGATTGTCTCCATTTCTAATGCGCAAAGATTTACAAAAGCGCGTAATAGGCGGCGAGTCACGTCGATTATTAAAATTTATAAAATAATTTATTTATTATTTATATATTTTTCCTCGTATTTTTTATTTAAAATTAATAATAGTCCAAATTAAATGTTAATATTTATTATGATATAAAAAAAATTATATTTTAATAATGTCTATTGACAATGCGTTACTTTAAATACTTACTCGACGATATAATGTTTCAAACATTAATCAACAATATAATATAAACAGAGACTCCAACAAAAATACAACTCAACAATTTTAAGATTAAATTTTAATATCCTAACGAGAGGTTAATATTTAAATCTGACGATCACTAATTTTTTAACATAAAAGAATAAGTTTAAAACATATGAATAGTCAATTAACTGATTTATAATTTTAATAGTTGGCAGACTCAATGAAGTAACGTCTTATAGTTGAGGATCATTTTATAACTTCCAATAGTTCTAGGATTCAACCGAACAATAACTTATAATCGAGAAACTATTTGTGTACTTTACCCTATTTGTATGTAAGGAATTAAATTTTGATTACTCCTTAACCCAAATTATCCTATAAATTAAATCAATCCCATATTATCGTTTAAATCTTTTATTAATTTGATTAAATTTTAATCAAATCATATGTTAAAATGTTATTATAATTTAGATATATTTTATAAAAATTTCATGAAATTAAATTTATATAAATGCTAAAATTACAAAAAGAAAAGGTCTATTTTCACGTGCAAGAAACCGTTTCTTTTGAGAAAACTTTGACATATTTGTGTTTGGTTGGTTTAACAGGAATGTAAGATTATCGTGTTTGATTAAAGGAATAAAAGATTATTGGAATGTATATTTGACCAAATTGTCCTTATTATATATTTGTATAATATTACAAATTGTAAAATATTTATATATTTTCTTTAAAAAATTAAATTCATAATATTTATATAATTTTTTACAAAATTAAAAATATAAAAAATGTTTAATGAAAGGGTAAATTTTTTATATAAAATTTTAATTATAGATTTTTTTTGTAAATCTAAAATAATTTAAGATAAATTTGTAATTTAACATTCGTATAGTTTTTATTATTCAATGACAAAAGAATGATATTTTTGAAAAAAAATAAAAATTTAAGGACATTTTAGTTTAAATCGCCGGTAATGTTACAATACGTAAGGAATGGAGGTAATGACATTTCCGGTAATATACTCCAAAAAATCTACTATTGGTAATAAAATACCGGAAATGATATTCCGGTCAACCAAACATGGGAATGTGGGATTCCCATCCCATGAGAATCACAATCTTTGAACCAAACACCCCTAAAGTGATGAGTTTTAAGATTATTATTTTACAATTATTAATATTTATTTTATTAATTAATTAATTTGATTTGGGTATTATAAATTTTATATAAAATATTTTTATACGATTTAAAATTATAATATTAAGTTTCGTCTTTAACATTTAATTAGATTACCATTTTGACCATTATTTTTAAATTAGAATAATTTTTTAAAATAAAAATAGTAATATTTATTATTCATAAAATAAATAACGTGATATTTTTATATTAATTTATTTATTATATTTATTATTGTTTTTATTAAATTAATTTTAATAATTATATAATGGGTAAAGTATATAAATAGTACCCTGAATATAGGTGTTGCTTTATTGAGTCCTTCAAGTATTATAAAGTTACAAAATGATCCCCGATTATAAGATATTTTTTTAATCCCCTGACTATTAAAAGTTACAAAATGGTCACCCGACTATTCATTATGTTCCAAACTAGCCCTTTTAGATTACAAAATTGATGGCAGTTTGAGTTGAACGTTAACCTGATGACTGAGATATGATATAATATGATCCAGAATCTTAAACGACTATTATATCTCAGTCAGCAGGTTAACGTCCAATTGAAACTGCCATCAATTTTTTAACGAAAAAGGACGAGTTTGGAACACAAATAGTCGGGTGACCATTTTGTAATTTTAATAGTCAATGGGCTTAAAAAATATCTTATAATCAGATGACTATTTTGTAACTTTTAAAGTTGTAGGATTAAATAAATCAATACTCTATAGTTGAGGGACCATTTGTGCACTTTATCCTTGTGTAGTAATACATGCTATCATTTAAATTATTTAATCGAATTAATTTTTTATTAATTTAAGATAAATATAAGTGTAGTATCTATTTTAAAACTCTCAATCATTTGACAATAAACGTTCAAATACGCTGCAATCATTTGTGCTTAATTGATTTAACCATTAATACTGAGTCAGGTTGAGAATGCTTGATTTAGGTTATAAAAATAATTTTTAATCTATGGACTCAAATTTCTAATTTTTTATGTGCAAAATCACTTTTTGATTAAAATTATATTTTTATTCTCAAATACTATATTTTCAATTTACAGCATAATCTGTAAGGTGAACTTTTTTTCTTTTTAAAATCATTTTAACAGTATTTTTAAATTACATTTTTTAAAAACTTTGGGTAAAGTACATAAATTGTTTATTGACTGTAGGATATTGATTTATTAAGTCCTTCAACTATTAAAAGTTGCAAAATGATTCTCTAACCATAGAGTTGCTTGTCGAGTCACTTGACTATTTAAAGTTACAAAACGTTCATCTGACTATTTAGTATTTTTCAAACTCTCTCTTTTTCATTAAAAAATGGATGGTAGTCTGAACTGTATTTTAACCTACTAACTGAGGTATGATAAAATATTATCTCATAATCTCAAATGATTATCATATCTCAGTCAGCATATTAATGTCCAACTCAGATGACCGTTAATTTTTAACGGACAATGACAAGTTTGGAACATAGTAAATAGTCGAGTGACCGTTTGATAACTTTTAATAGTTGAGGGACTTAATAAAATAACTCTCTATAGTCAATGGACTATTTGATAACTTTTAGTAGTCGACGGACTTAATAAAATAGTATCTTGTAGTCAGGGGACTATTTGTGTAATTTGTCCAAAACTTTGTTGCAACACTTTTAATTTTTTTTTTTGAAGAGTAATATCAAATTGTTCATGAATATATAGAATAATATTTATTTTGAATTGCATATTTGCAAAGCAGAAAAGAAAATTTCAATTTTCAAGGATCATTTCCTTTATTAGATAGAGCTGTGTCAGGCTTTCCGAAAAGCGAGTGAACTCAATTACACCACCATGTTCATCATCCGAGTTCACTCAGTGGACACCGAGTTACAACTCGCCGACGCCGAAGAAATCGAATTCTATGCCACCACCTCCCCATCAAACCCTAACCCTAAATTACGTGAAAGGAGAGGGATCGTCAACCTCTATCGAGAGGCCTCACAGAGCTCCCTCCCCAACCCTAGCTCTCGCTCCACTTCCCTCTTCGTCGTCGCCGTCCCCAACTATCTCTCCGCCGCCGATCTCGTCCGTTTCGCCGGCTCCCACCTCGAGAATGTCTCCTACCTCCTCTTCATCCGGTATCATTCATCGCCTTAATAGATCATTCTTGATCCCCAATTTGATGAATTTTCACTTTAAAGAAAGAAAATCTTTATCTTCGTATGGTACTTGCGTTTAAAACTCCTTTTTCTTTTTCGTTAACGGTGCATGTTTTGGAATGATAGGAATGATGGAATAGAAGATAGGTATAGCGTATTAATTGAGTTGGTTAACCAGTCGGCGGCTGATGCGTTCTATTTTAGCTTGAACGGGAAGAGGTTTTCGCCTGCTGAGGTCAGTAAGTTTCATCTCCTAATCAGGGATTTAAATTGTGGTTGCGATTGCTTCTACAGTTGCTTTGTGTTTATCGTGATTGCGGTTGCGTTTTTAGTAATATCGTGATCGAGTGTTTTTCAGTACCGTTGCATTTATCGTGATTGTAAACATAATGGGTGCTATTGCAATCATTGCGGGTATTGCGGTCAAGTGATAACGGTTTCGGATGGCACCAAAACCGCTATATAACAGCCGCTATTCCAACAGCGGATAGCTATTTAAATCCCTGCTCCTAATCACTTCATTTTGATAACGTTTTCAGATGGCACCAAAATCATTATATAACGGCCGCTATTCCAATAGCGGATCGCTATTTAAATCCCTGCTCCTAATCACTTCATTTTGATACTTGAGAGCAACAATTTTGATTAACGACTTGAATTCATTTTAGGCTGAGTTATGCCACATCCTTTTTATGCATTCTGTCGAATACACGGAATTGTCCGAGATTGCAAGCACGCCTCCTGAAGGATTTGCTGCGTTGCCTACGTGCCCCATTTGTCTCGGTTAGTGATAAAGCAGAAATCATCCTTTTCGATCTAGTGTGTTCATGATGTTTTATTTGTTTAGGCTATTAATTTAACTTCCCTTTTCGGTGTTTGATGACAGAGAGATTGGACCCAGATACTAGTGGGATACTTAATACATTTTGTGACCATTCGTTTCAATGTTCTTGCACGTCAAAATGGACTTACATGTCCTGTACAGTAAGCTAGTTCTTATTTCCATGAAACTTATGCTTTTTATATTGTATTCTTGCCTGTTATCTTTCTATCGTTATCCCAGAGAAGCTGACTTTATGTTTTGGTATCAGTTAATATTATTGCATCTGCATCTATTTTGTTTAGGACTTGTCTTCGTTAAAATTTGTGTTCGCTTTTTTCCCATATGGAATAATGTTCTAATTAGCATCATTATGTTGATAGGTCTGCCGGTTTTGCCAGCAGCAGGACGAGAATCCGGTCTGTTCTGTTTGTGGATCTGGAGAGAATCTTTGGATCTGCTTGATATGTGGTTTCATGGGGTGTGGAAGGTAATGCATTAGAAGCTGTCCCTTTCTTATCGTGTTTAAACACGGTAACATTATCCGGGCTTGGTTATTACTTTAGTATGTTTTGAATTTTTTAATAGAATTCATGGTCTTTATGTTTCAAGTAACTATTTATGGGCACTGCAGATATAAAGAAGGCCATGCCGTTAGACATTGGAAAGACACACAGCATCGCTATTCCCTTGAGTCGATATCACAGCAGATATGGGACTATGTGGGTGATGGTTATGTTCATCGATTAAATCATTCAAGAGTTGATGGCAAACCGGTCGAGATGGACTCTCGTTGCACATCAATCGAAGGAACTTGTCGTTCCTGTGGCTGCGGTGATGATTCCAGAATTAACGAGGTCATCTATAGCAGCAAAGTTGAAGCGGTATATTCCTTAAATTACTTCTGGCAGGTTACTTATCATTCAATGATAAATTATGGATATCTTAAACTAGCCGATAGGAAATCTTGATTGTACCAATCTTGTAAGTTTAATAGGTTTCCTTGAACGAATAGAACAATTTCATTAGCTACAACTGACCACATATACGGCTTTGACACCGATTATTCAAATTTATTTGAAAAGCTTTTTAAGTAATAATCCGACTTTGACATATGTGCCAATGAAACAGGTTTTCGATGAGTACAGCCGACTTCTGGCTACCGAGTTAGAGAAACAAAGACAAGTAAGAGGAACACTGATTTTGTTTTAATTTAAGGATTTCTTTCTGTTCTAGTGTGTTCTTGTCCTACTGGTGCTATTGCGATTTTTACGGTATAAAGAACTATTTGTTATATCCTGCGCTACTCTCCATCCTACAGAATTATGAATCTATGCTCGCGGAAGCCAAAAGCAAAAGAGAGAGTACGATTGCCGAAGCCGTGGAGAAGGCTGTGACATCGGAAATGCAGGACATCCAGAGTAATCTGGATAAGTGCACAGAGGAAAAAAATGCTCTTGCCGAGGTCTGCTTCGACATTTTCCGTTACACAGTTTCTGCATGCGCTTTACTTTGCGAAAAGGCATTTGCATTGTTGGCTCTTTATATAACATCATTGTCCGTCGTAGGTCAATCGTAAGCTCATAAAAGACCAACAAGTTTGGCGCGATAAGGTCAAGGAAATCGAAAAGAGGTACTCTATTTTCCACCCTGGGTCCATTAACATAATTATAATCTACTTTTCTTGCCCCAAAAAAGGGAAACCCATTACCAGTCAAATGCAACTCCGTTCTTTGTATTAGCATTTGGCTTTTTCTCTCGTTTTCTTTTTCGGGTTCCAGACCTCACACGGTGTCTTTGTTTTGCCTTTTAGGGAAGCCTCCGAGTCAAGGTTGATGGATGAGAAGATAATTGATCTGGAAGAGCAGGTATCTTAATGACCCGAGTTTATAGTTTTCTATGCAATTGCTCGAGATTTTCCGACTTTGATCGTTGTTTATTGCGACAGATACGCGATCTCAAGGTCTATATCGAAGCTCAGAAGACACTTGATACGGCGGATTCAGATAGTATCCGGGGTGGAACGGTCTTGCCTGTTCCGTCTACGCAATCGTCATCTGCTAGCAGCAGGAGGCACAAGAAATCGAGTCGAAGACGGAATTAGGTAAATGCACAATCATGGTTTTTGTATAGTTGAATAGATTCCTGAAGATTAAGGAACAGTATGAATGGCCAATGTCTTGTAACATTTGCATGAAGATGAACAAGCTAAACAAATTGGTGAGATATTAAACAATTTAACAGTTTCTGAAAAGCTAAACAATAAACATACAGACACAGCACTCCTAACTATTTAAAACCAACACATATTGTCCCTAATTCCCTTTTTCGAAGGCTACGTATTGCAGGTGATCGACTCCTACATTTACGACCAATCCTCGATAAATAATCGAATCAACCAACACTATGCCTCCGCCGCAAAATCCATATCATGCCTTTTCTAATGTAAACCTATTATTTTGCCTTGTGCGGCCTTCCCTCGAAGGTCATGTCGACATGGAACCATTTGGCGCTGGCAGGGATAGCACGGAAGAGATGCCTGCTTGCTCGTGGAGGGGTTACCGTTGGTGTGGCTCTGAACCAGTTGGACCAGATGTGCAACTTGGTCCGGCACCATTTTCAACTGGAGGAGAAGTGCCCCATTTTCCTTCAGACTCCAATGGTTCAATGACATGGACTCCGCCATCTGTTAGTCCCAACGCAAATTGATTTGGATCCGATGGATGTGCCGCAATGACGAGTGGATAAGCTTTCAAGCTGTTCCAAGGTGCATTCGTTACGAAACGTAAAATGATGACATCACGCATTGGGGTATAACTGATTTGATAAATAGGAAAGGAGAACGCACCTTGCATTGGGAGGTAAGTATGCAGCCGGACTTATTCGGCATCTCAATCTCAGTGTTGAAGCAGTAAGAACATCAACACCTCCGCCTTCGAAGCTCACGTATATTGATTGGCTGTCACAGGAGTACGTCGCGTGTGTGATGGGACTACTTGCTTCTCGGGGGACCCACTGTTTGAGAAAATAATTCCGAAGTAACATAAGTAACCTCAAAATAAATCACTAGCAAACTGTACCGGAAACAAAGCATACTCTATACACTCATTTGGCATTGCAGGGACACTTCTTACTGCATGCATGAAACTGCAAAGCAATTACCTCCTAAAGTGCACTTGATTAAACATAGATTTAAGCAATATATATAGTATACGATGCAGAAAAATAAGCTCACATACCTGTTTTAGACATTCTAGTTTCTGTGCTTCAAAATAGCGATTTGTGATTCATGTACTGCCAGCAAATGCGTCTGATCCAGGTGAAATTGAACCCGGTATCTGCATGAGGAGACGGTGCTCGCCCACTCGGGATTTGCAAGAACTTACTGGTTTGTTTCTCCCATCCATCTGTGCTCCAGACACACAGCTGCAGCGAAAAAAAGGATTTGACATAATCAGATGATAATGATCCAAACAAATACTAAAAGTCATTTTACAAGACATGAATATACAAGGTAAATCCTATGAAATGCCATAGATTTTTTGTAAGGATAGCTAAACAATAAAACATGCAAAAAAGACCTCATATAGGCGTAATAGATTAATATGTTTTCAGCAAGAAGCTTATTCCATGTATCCTTGACAAGATTAGCTTGAAATAAGCCAATTGTTACAAGCATGAGCTTTTTAACATATCACGTATTTCGAGAGTTGGCTTTAAACATATGCAAGTTTCAATGTCAAGTGTATCAGTTATTTTAGTTTTCTCACAGTGGGTTGTTAAACTGTTCTAGGATAAAACAAGTATACATCGGAGAAACACTGATATTTCCAACCTGACTGTCAGCTCCTGAAGAAACAAGCACGTTTAGGGTATTAGAGAATGCAAGGCCTGTTATTCTTTTCTGATGGCCTTTCAACTTTGTTTTCACCTGAGAAAATAGAGCACGCAGTTAAACCAAAAAAAATCGCCTTATTTCTAAACAGAATATCGAAGTTCTAAGTCAATTGAGGACCTCATCCACCCGAACATTGTAAATTTGGATTGATGAATCATCCATGCCAATGGCAATGATGTTATTGTCCTGAGGATGAAATGCAAGGAAGGTAGCTGCGGGCGGTGGGGGCATGAATGTTGTCATCGTCTGCACATTAAGAAAGAACAAAGATACAAAATAAATGTGAAGAAAGCAAGATTTGTATTTAACCAAACTAGACCCCCCCTCCCTTTTCAAAAGAAAGAATAACGTCATCGTCAGTCAAAATTTCAATCCAACAATCCAAATGAAATACCCTCATTATTTAAACAAAAATTCTTTTAAACTTCACGATTACACTATAAAAGTATAGCCTACAAGCGTTATACACTTAAAACACCATAGCTTCCCTAAAAATAGTCATGTCCAGAATGAAATGAGCAGAGAAAGGAGATACCTTAAATGTCATCATATTGAATAGTGAAATTTTACCCCCGGAAGCTGACATAACATAGGAATCATTCTTTGAAAGTGCAAAGCATGGAACAGCATCTTCAGGATTGGTATCACTTATATCATTAGTCATTAATATTCCACTCGTCGGTTGCCATAATTGTGGTGCAACACTGGCTGTGGCCTACAACAGGTAAAATCTTAGTTAATACCAAGTTTCTAATAATATTAAGGGGGGAAACAATACAAATATATTATAATACGAAGTATGCAAAATAGTAAAGAGTTGTTAAAGAAATTTTAATACCTTCACAGGTAAGTTGCGATCATTCTTCTGCCATTTCCAAAGCTTGTGTACAGCATTAGATGTTAAAGCCAATATGGCAACTCCAGAATTTGTATAAATTAGTCTAGAAACCTGACACCATAAAAAATTAAATGATTCTCCTTGTCTTTACAAAATAAATATATACTATCATAATCTACTCAGAATAAAATCACAACCATACATAATGTGAACTGCAAACTTTTCTACAGGTAGATTTGCCATAGAGTGAGTAGAGGATAAAATCTTAGTGAATTATTCCTAAGCAGATGATTTTAGATAGGCCACAAAAGGTGGAATTCCATCAGAATTATTTCAAAATTCTATAGAAGTACACAATTAGAGACATAGGTTTACCCTCGTAGCTGTCAAACTATCAGGAAGCCTCAAGGAGCGGCATTGTGATGATTCATTGATTTCTGTAAGTTTCCAGATCCTAGATTTCTCCACAGACTCATCTGTGATTCTTGGCTTTATATCGGCCACGCTTCTACCATCGTTGATCTGAAATGACCCAAAAGCAAAAAGATCAGATCATAAATTTTATCATGCATAAATTAGACTTCGTAAACATTCACTTTCAAAAGATAGGTGCATCCATGTCACTTTATGAAAAAACATTTAGGTTATGACTATGATAGTAACTCACCATTCCAACCATAGCAGGTACTGATGCTGCACGATCACCCATGGTTGTTCCAATAGTTGCGTTGTTGGAGCCAAATGTACCAATATTTGGAGCCTGGTACATAAATCAGCCACTTACAAAAATATCTTCACATAATATTTGTACATTAATGAATAGTTATAGTATCTCTCTCATATATTAAGAGCTTTTACCTTTACTATAGCAGCAGGGGCAACTCTAGAAGCATCAAATGAACGACTCTCCACCGTCCGTAGCAACCTAATGCCATCTGAATTAGCTAGAACTTTAACTCCATTATCATCAGTTGAAACGGTTAGCAATGTTCCTTCCTTGTTAAATCTAATGCAAGGGGAAGGCTGCATTTTGTTATACAAGTACAGTTAGGAGGTTGAAGTTAGTACCAGACAACCGTACAAGGAATAATGCAAATGCTTACATACCGGCAATCCACCATTTGCTGGAGTACTTGTTAATAAATTAAGATTATCCATGTCCCAGAATTTGACAGTGAACTCATCACCAGCAGCCAAGAACCGATTCTTTGTGGTATCAAATTGAACAACTCCCACAGATCGCTTCCCAAGACCAAAATACGAACGCTTGACAGTTCCTTCACTTTCATTCCATTCCACCAAGAATGATTCCCCTTCTTTATTTGTCCCGCATGAGAACAGCCTATAGTAGCCGATAAATTGAAAAGGTAAGTACTACCATAATGAATAGAAAGATGATAAGAACAACCTCAAAATAAGAAAGACCAAGTCAGAGAGTGGACATATAACATAAGAACCTTGTTCCGTCAGCACTGTATGCCATTGCTGTCGAGGACTGGCCTGGTGCATTATAGTCAACTCTTGAACCCATATTATCATACAACCATGCCTTTATTTTCCCATCAGTTGCTGTTGAGAAAATGAACTGAGAAGGGAGAATAAGACAGAAGAAGATGGAAATCTTTAAGCATTACAGTAATAAGAAACTTATAGGATATCAACTGCTAATGATTAGAATGTCCAATTCAAAAATACAAGTATCACCAGAAGAGAAATAGAGAGATTCTTATGCAGAGTCTTTAGAAAGGAGTTGTGGACTCTATGGTTGAAAGAAAAACGCACTAAATCCTAAATCTGATTGTTCTATGACAAAATATCCCAAAATCTGAAATCGTTTCACAAATTCTGGTTTCCATAGAATATATATACTTTCAAATATCTTTTAACTCGGGTACATTATTTAAAAATATTTAAGCAGGAGATGGACATTGGGGGGTAAAACTAGCTTAATTTACACAGCAGATACCATGCTAGGAGCCAAAATCAAATTTGCACACAAAATACTCCAGAACACTAAATGAAACAACCAAAAATAATAATAATCACCAAGGCTAAAAACAGACTCGGATTGAATATAACTCAAGCATCCAATGATTGTTGTTTAATATCAACTGTATAATGATTCAATGTTATACATTTAATCTGTTAAGATCTATGAAAAGACTGGTAAAAACTTTAGACCTTAGTTTTCTGAGTGTGATATTGGCTCATTTTCTAACTAAGAGGAAAATAATTAATATACCCCCATTTTTACTCTGTTGAAATGGAAGGGAAATTAAAACAAAGGGACAAATGAGTGCCAATCTCCATGTTGTTGTCTGTTACCTGAATATTTTCCTTGTGATGAGGACATATAGAATAGACAGGTGCTTCATGACCCTCAAAAGTATACTGCTTAGCGCCAGTAGTAGCATCCCAAACCTACAAAGATTAAGCTGTTAGTAATTAATTCAAACAGATGCAATAAGATAAAAGAAATGAGATGAACAGCAACCTTAAT